AAAAAAAAAAAAAAAAAAAATCCCTTCCTGGAACAGTCGCTCTTTAACCTATTCTCAAGGAAATCCCTTCTAATAAGCACCCCAGACACAGCATACCCCAAATCAATTTTTTAATTTTATACTAAGTTGACAATTTATAATTATTTTTATGAGGTACAAAGTGATGTTATAATTTATGGATACAATGTGGAATAATTAAATAAAGCTAGTTAACATATCTATTATGTCAAATATTTTTTCGTGGTGAAAACATTTAAAACTTACTTTCTTAGGAATTTGATATGTACATACGCTGTTATTAACTATCTTCACCATGCTGTCCAATAGATCTAAAAAGCAAAAAGTACTCCTCCTGTCCAGTTGAGATTTTATACCTTTTAACCATCATCTACCCATTCCTCACCCCCACTTGCAGCCTCTGTAACCACCATTCTACTCTCCGCTTCTATGAGTTCAATTGTTTTTGATTTCAGAAGTGGGATCACACATTTTCTTTATCCATTCATCTGTTGATGGACACTGGTTCATTGCACATCTTGGCTATTGAGAACAATGCTGCAATGAACATGGGAGTGCAGACACCTCTTTGACAAATTGATTTCAAATCTTTTAGGTAAATGCCCAGCAGTGGGATTGCTGAATCCCCAAGTCAATTTCATCATATTCCCCCAAAACTATCTTAAGAAAGGGTGCTATTTTTCTCACTGCCATCCAAGCCAGAAACCTGGGCCTCTCCCCAGTTGCTGCTCCCCCCACACTAGCCAGTCACTGCCTCGCCAATCCCAGTGTCCATGTTGAGCCCTCATCACAGTCACCTGGCCTCCTCCAACTCCTCCAGGGCAGGCACCTCACAGCAGCACTCATCCCAAAGCTTATCTTGCGTCTTGCTGCTCCTCTGCTTAGGACCCTTGGCTTCCAAGTCTCTTAATAACTAACAACAGTAGCTGATACCTGGCACTTGCTATGTGGCAGACCCTGCTCTGAACACTTCCCATCTCACTCATGTAATCCTCCCCACAGCCAGGTGAGACAGGTGCTGTTACTCTCTCCACTTGACAATAAGGAAGCAGAGTTCTGGAAGAGTAGGTGAGGTTACCCTCAGTCAGAGGGCACCACAGACAGTCTAACTCCAGAGCCTGTGCTCTCCATCTCAAAACACGGCCCTATCAAGAGGTCCTCTCCTGATGAGGTCCTGGCAGACCCCACTCCTGACACCCCCTGACAATTCATCTTCCTGCTGTGTTAGTACCACCCATTTCGGGTAGCTTGAATGCCCCCAAGTGACCCAGGAAAAGCTTGCCTTCAGAGGGCCATTACTCCCAATGCCCCCTGCTTTTCCTATCCTTTACCCTTCCATTGTTTAAGATTTAGCTGACCCATTCCCTATCCATCCTGGGAACATCTAACCACTTCATTCATTATGCCTTCCATACCCCATAGAGATCTGCTAGGGTACCTGTAATATTTTATCAAACATTGTATATCTTGGTCCTCTGTTATGCTGTATCTTTATATCGGATTCTGTGCTTGGCACATAATAGCACTCAGTAAATGCTGTGGAATATTTAAATGAATAGAAAGTGCTTCCCAAAGACATGATGGAGGTGTTCAAGCTTGGCAAGAAGTGGTAGAGAAAGTTCGAGCAGCAGATGGAGGCTGGTCCAGATGACATGAGATCCTTTCTGGCTCTGACAGTAAAAAAGTCCTCAACTGTTACAATGACAAGCAACAAGGAGTTTAAAGAAAGTAAAAGTCAGACTGAATTGAAGGAGGATATTGGGAGACCTGGCTTCTACTCCCAGTCTTTCACTTATTCACCATAACTTGGGGCAAGCTACTTCCCCTCTCATGGCCTCATTTCCTTCATCATTAAAATGAAAAAAAAAAAAAAAAAAAAAACCCTGAGTAAATGGGTGCCTTCCCGTCTGCCCATACAGTCACTGTAAAAGCCAGCACGAAGGGGAGCTGTGCACGCAGATCCAGGCAGTGTCCACACTGAGGGCAAGGAATGGGAAAAAATAACCATGGCGTCCCTTTCTGTACCCTCAGTCATGGGCTAGGGACATGGGTTTCAGTCCTGGCTCTATTTCTCGGCGACTATGGCTCTCTTTTCTTCTCCAGAGAAAAAGGGCTAACCCTCCCTGTGAGAATCAGATGAGGTATGGACATGTAAACCGTACTACATAGACTCCATAGGCCAAATTGTACTGCAGGAGGCCCTGGACTGAGGCTCAAGATGAGCCACAAGCCTTGGTTCTGTCTGGTACTAGCTTTAAGCAAAAAACGTACCCTCCCTGCCGTACTTTCCTCATCCATAAAACAGGAATGGTAACATGAACATTCCAGAAGTGTTGGAGGGGCTCCAATGAGACGTGGAGTGTGAAAGAGGTGTGTAATGAGGCCTGCCCTGCCGGACATGCTTGTACAGCTGACATGGAGATGCTTAAAGTGCGGTCCATGTAAACTCTGTGGTCACTTTGGGCAAATCTCTTCTGGTTTTTGAGTTTTGGCTTTTGTTCTCCCATATCAACCCCCAAGCTGTGGATGTTCTGATCATCTCTAGGAATTGTGTTGGACATACTGTCTTCTGTCCAGGAAGAGTGCTCACTCTGATTTACATTAATCATCCTTTTGACCTGAGGTAAATGGGATGAGGTGGGTAGGGGCTCAGGCACAACCTGAACTCTAGGCCTCAAACTGGGCAACCTGTGTGCTCCTGAGAGCTTCCCCCAGCTTCCAGCCACAACTTGAATAATACGCCCCGTATGGGTCTGCTTTATATGCCCGGCGTCATGCACAAGCTGATTCGGTTCTTGTGGCAGTTCGTATGCATCTATCTGGTGGCCGCAGGTCTACCATCTCAGCACTGCAAGACATCGTACACACTTTTTTTCCCTCAGCACTAGCTTCCTGTCTCTGCTACATCAGCAGGCCCCTTGACTGCCACCTACTGGTTCTACAGACTTCTTTATCTTCTTGGAGTTGATCTAGCTTGCTGCTTGGGATTCATCTGCAGGCACAGTAATTCATTTCAAAACTCTCCCTTGTTACAACAAAGGGACCCCTCTCCTGTTGCTCCCCCCATCCCCAGTCATCCTCTGAGCTAATGTCTCCAGCCTACAACCTCCTGCCTTGGGCTTTCCTCTTTATGGCATTTAACTACTTTGTCATGTGAACAGTGTTGAGTCTTGCCTGGAAAATGTTGAGGTTAAACATAGGGGACGCAGATACTGCAGGGTAATCTTCAGGGTGTAAAAACATAGACACAAAGCAGTCCAGGAGCCCAGAAAGAACTGGAGGAAATGTTTCCACCAGGTGAAGACACTAGTCTCATAACTAAGTGACAACTCTGAACTGGCCCCAACTGTGGGGCCTCTGTAGGCAAAGGAGAAAGTTGAGTTGAGCCAAGTGGGACTGCGGTCAACCACTTAGAGGAAATTTAAGAATGAATCTGTGCTGCCCCAGACCCTCATCAATGAACACTGACAAAGGAGGGCTGTTGGACAATTCACACATAACTGTCCTTTAAAAACAACAGACTTCGGGCCGGCCCAGTGGCGCACTGGATAGTGCGCCGCTTGGGAAGCACGGCGGCGCTCCCGCCTGAAGGTTCGGATCCCACATACAGACCGGTTCCCGCTCACTGGCTGAGCGAGGCGCGGGAGCGACGCCGAGGGTTGCAGTCCCGTTGCTGGTCCCGGTCCGGTATGGGGGCGACACTGAGGGTTGCGATCCGTTGCCGGACACGGAAAAAGACAAAAAAAAAAAACAGACTTCAGACTTTGCTAACAAAACAATTAGCGAAGCTTCACAGTGCTTTCCGAGTGACAGTGGTGGTTCCTGGCCTACAGGGACAACCAGCTTATATCTTATCTCCATTCCTTTCCAGTGAGGAAGAGGAGGCTTGCAGACTTGACTGGGCCCATCATTCCCAAGTGCCGGAGTGGTGTCTAGTGTGTGGAGGTGAAGACCATGCCCTTGAACTGGACGTGTTCTACTGACAACCTGTGCTCTGCAGTGGATATCAGAAGGAAACATGCCGGCACAAAACCCTTTCGTGGTTCAGTTCTTCATGCACTAAGATTTTAGTTTACCTAGTGGTTGTAGTTGAGAATTTTATAAAATATGGTTAATGTGAAGTTTTTCTTTAGTCACAGAAGTTCAGTCTGGTTATTATTTAAAAACTAAGAAGCCCTCAAATCAGTAGATCTTACTGAAGACATTATAGTTAACAGTGACTTAACCCCAGGAGTCCAGTTTCAGTGGCCTTGCTGTGTGGTGTTTCAGGTATATTTAACATGTGTAACATAAACAGCACACTCTTCCACATGGTTTAGAAGTACTCTGAAATACTTTATTAAAAATTTGATCTTAGCTATTTAGCAAATAGAACAGGTATCATTCTTTATTAACCCTCCTTTAAATTTCAAGAATCTCAAGATTAAAGTTGCCAAATTGATTACTGGATCAAGAACAGAATTTTCCCCTCTAAATTAAAAAAGATTGAAGCCACAGAGCTCTGCCAGGAATCAAAGAACATGAGATTCCTTTTGCTGAATATGAGGAAATGACAGAACAAGCAGTGGTAAAATTTCAAGTTTCAAAAACCACTCTTTCCTTACCAATCCCAGGCAACAAACATATCCCTGAGTGTTCTTTATGAACATTTGGGATTTATTTACAATTTAATACTGGAGTCAGAAAGAAGTTTTTCCTTATTGAATGCCAACTTTTTGATAGATGTGAAAACCTGTGGCCACATACTTGAAAACACGTTTCTATACTGCACAGTGGGCAAATGGCTTATGTGAGGCAAAACACTAGAGGATTAATTTTCAGTCCATTATGGCTATGGTTTTCAGCATGACCAGGCTTACAGACTTCAACTACCTGTCTCTTCACTATTAGACAAATCACCACTGATCTCATATCTATAGATTAAGCATCTAATGGGCAATGGTGAAGAAACTCCAGATATTAAAGAATCAGGAAATTCTGGCCAAACCATCCCACCCAAGATGCTTATTCTGAAAATGTTTTTTTGCTATTTCTGCCTGACCCCTTTTAAACATCATGTGCATCTCGGGATCCAGTGAAAATGTTAAGCCATAATGCCCTTGTGCCTTTGATACACCACAGTGCCAGTTAAACTAGTGTTTTTGTTTGTTGCTTTGGGGAGTTAGTGATTCAGCAACTCTTAGGCCAAAGAGCTGATGAGCACAGACTGAGCTGCAGAGCACTGAGCAGAGAGGCTAACTGATGAAAAAGGAAAAGTCCTGCACACTGAACTGTAATGCCATGGACAGTACAGGGTAACTAGAGGTGGGGCCAAGGCCTCACCACTATGGAAGAGTGTCTACTGAGGCTGCAAATGGACCCAGGAGCGGCACCATGCTGCAGGGACGGCCATCCCCACTCGGCTTCTCCTTGAAACACAACTGCAGCTGAATTCTGCATCACTGGAAACTGCAACATAATATTAAATCTGTTGGTCTATGTATGGCAGCGTATGTCTTTCTTAAGACCTATGTGACAGGGACATGTGCCCAGCACACTGGCAAGAAGGCTGGGCTGCCATCAAGGCAGTGCTGAATGACCTTTCTAAGATTGTGTCTCGTATCACAAGTCCTGATCTAAAAACTGCTGCTCAAATATCAGTGTATCAAGCTTATCAGAACTTCTCAAAGAGAACACTTAAGAGCTAAGATAGTGGATACTGGGGTAACAGGGACATTGGGGGAAAATTTTTCACAGAAACTAAATCAATAAAAACTGAAGGTAAGCCACAGCTTTAAGGCCATCTCCATCAGACAAGCTGTTGGTCTAGACCAGGGTTGGAAAACTTTTCTGTAAAGGGCCAGACAGTATCAGACAAGCTGTTGGTCTAGACCAGGGTTGGAAAACTTTAGACTTTGCAGGCCATATAGTCTCTGTCATAACTACTCAAGTCTGCCATAGATCAGGAATGGGTGTGGCTGTTCCAATAAACTTTATTCACAAAAGCAGGAGGTGAGCCAAAAGGCCATAGTTTGCAGATCCCTTCAGGCTGTCAAGAGAGGATACAGAGGTAGGGGTAGATGGCAGATGACCTAAGTGGCCTGGTTTAGGAGTCTGCTCCCTTATTCACAAAAGCAGGAGGTGAGCCAAAAGGCCATAGTTTGCAGATCCCTTCAGGCTGTCAGAGAGGATACAGAGGTAGGGGTAGATGGCAGATGACCTAAGTGGCCTGGTTTAGGAGTCTGCTCCCAAGGCCATAGCTTTCACATTTTTGCTGACAACAGCAATGACTACTAATGGTCCTGCTGCATGGCAGAGAAAGGGCATGACACGGTCACCAGGCTCAAGGCTCTATCTCTTAGCAGCTTTGGGATCCCATACAGCTCACCTTTTTTCTTGCTATAGCATCTTCTGAATCAGAATGTTTCAGGTAAGAGGTCAACGCCCAACTCCCTCTCCCTCCCCCTGTGAAATGTAAGTGGCTAATATGGTGACCAGTTTGCCACAGTGTCACTGGCCAGCACTAACGTTCTCCATTGCTCTGTTTCTGCAGCCTTGACATTCTCCTATACATGGTCTCCCCAAACCTACTTTGTGAAAGCTTGGGGAAATGCTGAAGGCGCCACTCACACAAGCACTGGCCCACCCTCACCAACATTGGGCCCTGGCCTCACAGGGTGTCGCGCATGCCATGAGAATTCCCTAGGAATGCGTGGCCGTCGAGCTGTACACTCGCATTCCTCTTTAAAGCTGTCCTGAGTAAGTCCTGAAGACTGCCTGTTCCCTTTGTCTTGACATGTGGCACAACAGGCTGTGAATCCTTTTCCTTGACAAGCAGCACAGGTCAAAACAAGCTGGCGGCATTGGGAAGTTGAGCAGAGTTTATACTGGTCCCACTGGGCTCCACAGTATGAACATTCTGGGGAAGAAAGAAAAGCCCTTGTTATAAACATGCGTGCACCTGCACACATGCACCCACTTCTCCAGTTCCTAAATATAACTCTTAGCTCACCACAATCTAATATATCCTGTTGCGCCTGGGAAAGGATTCTAAATAGTAAGTCTCCTATCTTCCAACAACAACAAAAATGCCCCCCTCCCCCAGAGGGAGGTTTGCTTCTGCAAACTGTCTTTCTGATTCCAGAATTCACTGATCCATTTTTCTTTTTCCCATCTAGAAAACAGGAAGTGATGTTTCTCTCTCATTAGCTGAAACAAATGAAAAGCTTCTTTCATTTCCGAAGCTGGCCAACCACCCCTTGTTAAATGGTCTTTTCCCCTTAGATCATTCTTTTCTCCAGGGGGTACAACATGCCTGAATACAGACTACCCTACAACTTCTACAGTCCACGTCCCATCTCCCTGCTGTTGCTAGGGTAGTCGACCATCTGACTTCTAAAACTCACATTATCTTCTTTCTCAGCCTATCTTTCTCTGCTGACTTTCTGTTACCTCTGATAACACCACTCTCTCTCAAATCTTACCTTGCTTATTTATCAACCCTCCCTTATCTTGCTTATTTATTAAACCTACCTTTGGGCCTTCTCTCCTTCACACTCACTGTGGGTACCCAGTAAGTCCTGCCGATATTTCCTCTGTAAATTCTCAGATCCACTCCTACTTATTTGTAATTTACAAGGGTACTTCCAAAAAGTTCTTGAAAAGATTCATGTTATCTTTCAATTCTTTTTTTCCATGAACTTTCTGAAGTACCTCGCAGTAAGATATGTGCTATTTATTAACACATTAAATAACAAGACTTAGTGGTGGACCTAATAACTATTTCCATTTTGAAGCAGTGATGAGTATAAATGCTATTTTGAGATATCTGTAGCAACTATACCATGATAAAAAAGTATTGTAAATTCTAATGAAGACAAAGTCACAGGTACATCTAATACAACTGGCTTGTTGCCCACATTCATAATTGAAGAAAATGTTTCATTTTAGTGAGAGTTACTGAAAACAAAGATAATTATCTTCCCATCCAAATTCACAGAACCCCTGAATTCTATATACTTATTCCAGGTTAAGACCCCTGATTTAGCCTATTAGTTCAACTCTTGGCAGGTAGGGAGGGCAGGTGAAATTATCCCCATTTTAAAGGACTTGCCCAGGTAGTAAATGATGAAGCCAGGATCCCAGCACAGGCCTCCTGGTTCCTAGTCCAGGGTTCTGTCAGCTCCACTGCTGTCTTTATCTCCAATTGCCAGGAAAATGGTGGTACGACATACTTCTTTCCCGTTTATTCTTCTGGTAATTAGTACTGGCCTGCCTTCCCTGTGTAGTTTTTCTAGAATGGTGAACTGATAATGTGCCTGATTTCAGTTCAGGTTCTGGACCTGTGCTGACCTACCTGATACCACGTGACTGTTGTAGGACAGGGAATAACGCTCATCAAAAACAAACAGCTTCCCTTTGTAAAAACCATCAGGAAACTCTTCCAGGTACTTGTGAATGCCACCCTTGAGCTGGAACACTTCCTTGCACACTCCCTAGGTGTGGAAAAATAACAGGAAATCTGAAGAGACAGGCAGACACCTGTAAGAAGCTCCACAGAGGGGTGGTGTGTGACGAGGAGTGCTGAGGTGGAGGATTCACCACCTCTGCTATCAGTCAGGGGCTCCTGGTTCCCCCTGCAGGATGCTGAGGAACTGCTGACCGTGGAGCCAAGGAACCAACTGGCCAGACCTCGCCCACTAGGGGGATGGGCGATGACAGCAGTCAGGGCCTTCGCCCTCCAGCTCCTGGGAAGCCCAACTATTTTTGCTGCCCCCTAAATATAGGAAGACACCTGTTGGGACATATAATGTTACTAAACTTGCTCTTCTCAGGATCAAGCAAGAGGATTAGGAAAAGGGAGATGTTAACTAATCTTTCCATTTTGTACTTGATGACTCTCTAAGACTGTTGAGTGGTTTTCACATCTTGAGATTTAAGAACCTCAGATTTTGTACTTAAAAACTCTATGCTAGAATCATACAAGCTGGTGGCATTGGGGAGTTGAGCAGAGTTTGCTCAACTTTGGCTGGGGGTGAGAAAGGGAATGGGAGGGACATTGAAAAGCTCCGCATGGTCTTTGGTTAAACCATGACCTCCATGTCTGCAGTGCCCCAAGGGTGGTGACTCACCTTGGCTTTGAGGTAGGCTGAACCCCGCTCACAACGGATGCCCCCAGTGCAGTACATCAGCACCCTCTTCCCTCTGAAAAGTTCCAGATTTTTGTCAACGTAGCTAGGGAAATAACTGAATTTCCTGATATCTGGGGCTAAGCAGCTCTGGAATCGTCCCTAAACGTAGGAGCAGCAAAAGGTAAATTATCAGAAAAACACACTTGGTAGGAATGAAGGATCTTGCTGTGTCAAACTACCCCCACCTTGACAAAGAAGCACTTGCCATTTGCTGTTCTCATCCCGAATTCTGACCTTTCAACTTCAAGATCTAGAACTTAAAAACAAGGCTGGTCGGCTGTGGGTCACCTTCCCACAGAGTCCTCAGGGGAACTGAGGAAGCTGCCCAAAGCCAATTTTACAAAATCCTTGACACATGTCAAGGGTAGGCTCACAGAAGCCAAAAAAGTGCATCATGTGCCAAGACACCTTCAATTCATATTTTCTTAGCTTTCTCACCATATCCTGAGTTCAAGGGCTTGGGTTCTCTCCATGACACATGTCAAGGGTAGGCTCACAGAAGCCAAAAAAGTGCATCATGTGCCAAGACACCTTTAATTCATATTTTCTTAGCTTTCTCACCATATCCTGAGTTCAAGGGCTTGGGTTCTCTCCAAAGCTGCTAGTACTGGGAGAAGATCCATGTGGTCACAGGTGGGTACACACAGCATCCCCTTGGGAAATACGCCACACGGTAGGAAGCAGGGTACCTACCATTTCACTGAACTCAATTCTGGTTTTTACTTACTATTTTGCTTTCATAGAAGTTTCTGCAATCCAGTAGAATAGTATCACTTTGTTCTTGATTTGCCTGAGATAAAAACTTTTCTACTTCTTTATGAAATTCACCTGGGGATAAATGGACTCCTAAAACCAAACCAAAAAATTATGTTAAAACAAAACAAACAAAACCTAATCACAACTCGCCTCGCCTGACTTACTGTTGCTTTGTTTCTTTTCACATAAACCTCTTCTCCTCATAATTACAACTGTCTAAAAATAACACTATTTGATCATGATGAAATAATTTAGTAATTCCAGATGTCTTCAATCTCCCTCCTCCTAAAATGAGAACTATAGTGACCTGGTAGTTCAGAAATAATTAGTCAAAGAATTTTGCATCCTCATACTTGTCCTAACCCGTGATAAAAACCAGATAATTAGGATCTAAATTGCCATGGGGGCTTGCTGATTCACTATATGGTCACTAGTGAGTCAGGAAATGGCCACTGTTCTATTGTCACTGTACATGGAGGAGCTTGGGCACATACATGCTTGACTACAGGCTTTACAGTGAAGGTTCTATATCAAGGTTGAGCCCAAGTTCAAGGCTAAGAAACTTGGCATAGGCAGATGGTAAGCAGAAAGTTGCAGAATAAAGTTGGAGTATGTTTTTAAAAAATGTAAAAGGGTAAGAATGTGTCTAAATTTGTGCACGTGAGTGAAAGAGAAAAGGATGACACGGGTTGACAACAGGAATGACATATGAGAAAGAAAGGCAAAGAGAAGATAAGTATTAAAATACAAGACTAAAAGGAGAGAACCTCAGTGTGGTATGGCCCTTT